TATTCAGGCTGTAGTAGCTTATGAAGGAAGAAATCAACAGTGTGGTAAATGTGTCATAGATGCTTGCATTTCATTTAAAAGTGAGCAAACGACATGCGAAATTAAGCTGATATGTAGTTTCCTAGATAGTAATTTTCAGAACTTTACAGAGTGAATGAATCACTGAGGGTTTGTTGTTTAAACGATTCGTACAATACAGTAAAAATTGGATACGTCACACTAAAACTTGTTTGTTTGTTTGCTAATGCATTGATCTTAAGCACTGCCCAGTTACCATCTGATAACAGGGCTGCACATGGTACCAATCGACCAATGAGAACACAGTGTTTCAACTATGGGCAGTGTGCAGTAATATAATTGTGTATAGTTTACAATAGACTGTTCAGACAGCTCACGTATACAGTATTTAGACAAGTATGCAACTAATGGTCATTAAGGACAAGAGTTGGTGGCTGATTACTGTAGAATACTTTATTTTAGCTGGAATTAACTTTTGCTGAAAAGATATTTTTGGTGTTTTGTATCAAATTTATTTTCAGTGATTTTTGACAAGTTGAATGTAAAATATAGGGAAAAAGGTATATGCACTGGATTTTATTTTCACTGGATCATTCCTTCGAAAATTAATTTTCACTTGATCATTCCTTCGAAAATTAATTCCAAGCGAAAATAAAGTATTTTACAGTAGCTTGCAACTATCATTTAAGAATACTCCTTGCACATACATACATCCTTAAAATTGGCATTTGGTACCAAAAAGGTTTGCAAAAAATGCTTTTTTAATTAAACATAATGACTTACACAGCCTGTTCATCAAGCTCATTTCCAATCGTTTGTCCCATACTTTTTAACACCGTAACACTGTCTCCTACTCTTTCCAATTGGTCATCTTGGTGTTCCATGACCAGCTGCTGTTGTTGTCTTGTATCATCAATAAACCTTTGATTTGACCGGTCCATTTCATTGTCTAGTCTAGTGTATTTATCTTGTCCTTTTTTTGGTCCATTTGGAAGAAGCGTCTGAAAGTATAGAAAAAAAAATCAAATGAGAAATTTGTTGACAACTAAGAAGTCCATTCCTTGTATTATTTTTGTGTTTACTCAATCAGAACAATATCAGAACACTGTCAGAACAATATCAGAACACTGTCAGAACAAAATCAGAACACTGGCAGAACAATATCAGAACACTGCCAGAACAATATCAGAACACTGTTAGAACAATATCAGAACACTGTCAGAACAATATCAGATCACTGTCAGAACAAAATCAGAACACTGTCAGAACAATATCAGATCACTGTCAGAACAAAATCAGAACACTGTCAGAACAATATCAGAACACTGCCAGAACAATATCAGAACACTGTTAGAACAATATCAGAACACTGTCAGAACAATATCAAAACACTGTCAGAACAATATCAAAACACTGTCAGAACAATATCAGAATACTGTCAGAACAATATCAGAACTCTGTCAGAACAATATCAGAACTCTGTCAGAACAATATCAAAACACTGTCAGAACAATATCAGAACAATATCAAAACACTGTCAGAACAATATCAGAATACTGTCAGAACAATATCAGAACTCTGTCAGAACAATATCAGAACACTGTCAGAACAATATCAGAACTCTGTCAGAACAATATCAGAACTCTGTCATAACACTTTTTCAGAACACTATGAACCACTATCATAACATTCTGTCAGAACATTTTCATAACACTCCATCATATAATCACCTTCATTTTAAAAAAAGCTGCAAAAAAAAAAAAACTAGAGACAAAAATGTCTACATTATACAGGATATCAGTCTTAAAACTGAAATTGCTGTTTTTAACGAAAAAACACTAATGGGTTGCCTATAACACCGATACAGCAGATTTTATCTTACCGTTCTAGTTTTTCTGTCTTCTCTCGTTTTTGTACTTGGACTAGCCATGTGTTCTTTCATGTCTTTCACCATATCTTTGGTGTGTACAACAAACTGCTTCCTTTCATGAATTTCTGATGAGTCAATTTTAAACTTCCGTGGATTTGTCTCAACGATACGTTAGAACAGTTAAGAAAAGAGAAGCTAAAAGAATTGTATGCAATTTGAGAATTTAAAGTATTTGTGCTATTAGAAGCATACATATCAGTAACTAAAAATTGCAATTATTGCATGCTGTATCGTTAAAATGAAACAGATTTAGATTTTCTTTATGTAAGTGCATGTCCAACTAATAGAGTAAATATGGTGTGCCACTTATACAATGAGGCAATTATGAGAAGACTGCAAGGTATACAACAATTTTCGAATTACAAATCTCCTGTCTATTTGCTTGCATCAATGTATATGCACATATCAAGATGGAATTGAAATATTTTTTGAAAGAAAAACAAATTTCATGTTACTGACAATATTATAAATTAGGAATCCTCAAATCATTTCAGTAAAAACTTTTCATCTTAATTCACCTGTTCAAAAAATCAACTTTTGGGAGGCAAGTGTTGACGCCATAATTTTAATGTCTTTTCCACATTTCCACACTGTAGTACTGACTAGAGCCAAACGTGTTTCATACTTGCAATTTTCTGAAACAATCATGTCCACGATTTCTTGTTTTCTGCACATTCACCAGTGAACAAAACAAAGTATATTCTGCCCAATTGTAGTCAGATGATGAAATCCAGATGAAATTCCAAAGCTGGTCTCATGTGTGATTGTTATTTTATTCCAGTCACTCAACTAAACAGTATTCCTTCCATACCAGGGATTCTTTTAAACAAGGGAACAGGGATGCAGCGTCCTCATGCCATGGTCATGCGCCCTCTTACCATGAGGAGCAGATCCTCTGGCAACCATAAAATTCTGATTGACCATGGATCACCTGTTACAGTCTTCAACTGTGACCTGTCGTTTGGCCCCAAAGAAGCCATAGATTGCTCCATTTTAACTTAGAATTATCAAAAACTCCACACCCTGGTAGGGAGAACCCTATCTCCCCCACTTGGTGGCACCGCTGAATTGCAGGGCTCCTTCTTGTAGTTTTTTTCTAGAAAACCCCCTGCATGCATAAACATATTTGAATATCTATGACCTTAGTACTGCAAATGACATCAATCACAAACCTAAAGCGGACATGTTTTTAAAAAACTAATAAATACACCCCATATCAGTAGTTTCAGACTATGTTTGCTTTTCCACTAACAAGATGATCAAATTGATTGATTTATTTAAGTAAATGTTTCAAATTTTTCCATCCAAAGGATCAAGCAAGGTGCATTATTTTGGTTCACCATTTAAATTCAATTGACCATCACACATGGAATTTGTTTAATACTTCTATTTCAAGTGCAAATGATAATAATTCATCCAATCACATTGAGAGATGTATGTCAACCCATATAATGTTCCTGTCTGAAGTGCATGTAAAGTATTGCATTTGTTTAAATTATGGGTAGTTTGGGGTTATTCGTAGAAAACCCTTCCCTTCCCATAGCTGCCACACACACATTTTGACTGAATAAGTTAGAGGATGTTGGTAATACCACCACATATTATACATTTAGCATTGAAAACACAAAGAATTTTCATTTGATAAAAATCTGTACCGGCACTTATTTTAAAACCTATCAGCATTCATTCGAATGTTCAAATTTTCCCTTATTCTAGCATTGACACATTTGAGGTTATTGATGTCCCATTCAAACACTTTCCTTTCTTTACACTGGACGCAGAAGTGCTATAGTGCATCATTGAAATTGTATCAGGTCACCCATGTAAAACGTTTTTTGTTGTCATATCTACTCATACATGTAATCTCTCAAGCAGGAAAAAAATGTATAATAACAAGCCTATCGAGATCGTATATTTGCGATATTATTGTGATAACTTTTATAATATACACATCTGGACATCTTATCATTATTTGATCAAAAGGATATCAATAGTTTCTTCTAAGTCTTCTAGATCCCATTCTATACTCCGTAAACTGTTTCTTAATTCATTTGTTGTCCAATCATATTCTTCCTTACTTACAGCATTAGGGTCTTCCAGCAGCTCACACCATCTCTGGTAAAGACTCTTGGCGTTACTTACAGCCTTTTGGACTTCACTACAAACAAAACAAATTACAGTGAATGACATAAGACTGTGGTCATTATAATCATTTCATAAATATATATTTTTATAAATCAAAGTGAACGTTAGAATTCAAATTGATCAATCCAGAAATTTATTGCGACAGCACGGTTATTACTATCGGTAATTAATATTGATATAGTTCAACATTATCCAATCAGCAAACACCTCATTTTGAATACATGGGCGGTCGTAGTTGGCATGTCATGTGATCACATGAAGGCACAAGTGCACACTATGGTTGTAGACACTGTGATTGAGCCAATCATTATTGAATATTTGAATTTGAGTGAAAGCAAATTTTTTATAAATATGTTTACTTGTATAAGTAAAGCCCCAGCTTTGTGTCGTTAACTGTTGCTAACTAATTATCATCAAGTTTCAAAACACCATGAAAACTAATTCATTAGCTATGAACAGTCAAAGCTTTTCCTGTTACTGAAAAAATACATCGGTAAATAGCTTTCTGTGATGTTTGTATTCAAACTAACTTACTGGGCTCCCAGTGAATGTCTGATAATTGTCCCTAGAGATGTTATATAGGTGAATTATTATAAGTATGTTTACTATAATTGCTCTATTGGAAGTGTTTACATCAAATGTCTATAGTTACTTATCGTACTCGACCGCGTTAGTGCCCATGCCCGGGCAAGCCCATCCCCCACCAATTTTTATATTTGAAGTCACATTCGGCAAAGCGCCCACCCCTTCAAAATGCAACTAATTTAAAACTTAGTCTTGCGTAACGAATCTTGGTAATCGTTTTTATATGATACAGCGTGGATATCAATCGCTGTGAACATGTTGTGAATGCGTAGAACATGGTAACCGTGTGTAAACTACGCTTCGACAATGACCTGTTAATAAAAGTAAAATGCGATAAATATTTCATGCCATATTCAGTTTACCTATCAAAAATGGCTAGTTACTAGTTTTTTGGAAAAACCATGTCGTTTATTCGCTGAAATCAATTCCAACAGATCGTACTTCGACATTGATAATTCACTTCTGCATTGCGTTACCGGAAAGTCGAATTTCCGAAGAATTTTGTCAGTCAAAACACAGCATTCTGATTAGTTAATAACCAACTTGACCCATTAGGTCAAAGGACGCTGCTGTAGGTCAAATCTACAAATGCATCATGGTGGAAATAATATGACAATTTTGACTTCGACTGTGTTCCAACAGACTCAAATGTACGTAATTAATATTGTTATAAAATGTGCGTATTTTTGTGATCATTTCTGTTTCTTCATTGTGAAAATCAATGACGACGCAACTAATTTAGTAATTTGATTTTCCCTCAAAGACGTAATCTGTCACTTGATGAATCAAAATTTTCATTTGCACTCTTTTTCGAGGGGGGTGCTCGGGTAAGCGCCCACCCCTACAAAATCATGATTTTCTGAGTTGAGGCCCCTGGGCGCTAAGGCAGTCAAGTACGGTATATTTGTATGTATTTTTTTCATATTTGTATTATTT